ATCGATAATACATTTCAAGCACCATGCCCCTCTCCACATGCAGATGCGAAGATCCACCTGCTTCCAACACAGAGCATCCCTCTCTACCTCCATCAGTAATCCGTGTGATTGTTTAATTTGTCCTTTAGATTCCACATATAAGAGATATCATGGGGCATTTGTCTTTCTCTGTCTGACTCATTTTACTTAACATGATACAAACAATCAAAACAGCAATAGACTCTTAGATACAGAGAACAAACTAAGCATTGTCGGAAGGAAGGGGATTCTAAGGATCAGTGAAAAAGGTGAGGTATTAAGAAATACAAATTGACAGTTATAAAATAGTCATGGGGATATAGAGTACAGCCTATGGAATACAGTCAATAATAATGTAATAGCTATGCATAGTGTCAGATGGGGTACTTGAATTATCAGCGGATCACTTTGTAAATTATATAATTGTTTGACCACTATGCTGTACACTTGAAACTAATATAGAATAATATTGAGTGTCAAAAAACCCCCCAAACCTGCCCTGGCTGGTGTAGCTCAGTGGATTGAGCACAGGCCTGCGAACCAAATGATCGCGGTTTGATTCCCAGTCAGGGCACATTCATGGGTTGCAGGCTAGTTCCCAGCAGGGGCCAGTTCCCTGCAGGGGGTGCCCCAGAAGCAACCATACGCTGATATTTCTCTCCCTCTCTCCTTCCCTTCCCCTCTAAAGATAAATAAATAAAATCTTAAAAAAAAACCCAAAACCCAGTCAGTGTGGCTTCTGAGCCATGACAGAAGGGAAGGGCAAAACCCTTCATATAACATGCATGAGCATACACTCACATTAAACCCACCTATCATGAGAGAAAAAAGAAAATCTTGTTAGTAACTGGGACTATTTGAAAACTATTTCAAAGCAAAGATTTCAAAGCAAACTCTTTCCTATCTTTGGGAGTCCAGTGAGATAGTATACTTTCATTCTCTGTCGTGTGTGTGTGTGTGTGTGTGTGTGTGTGTGTGTGTGTGTTTCTCTCTCCCTTTCTCTGACCCTTCCTCACCCCTTCCTCCCTTATTCACTGAACCCCTTATTGTAGCTTTCTGGCTATTTCTTGATTTTTTGCCTCCTACTCTTCACAGTTCCCTCCTTCTTTGCTTCTTCTAGGTCAGTGTGTCTTCTATCTCTTTCTTCGTCTCTTATCTTTCTCCCTCTTTGGTCTACTCCTTCAGCTAATTCAGAATTCCTCCATTGGTGGGGTAGGGGTCATCCGAATCCTGGGTATGGGGTAAACAATTACGCTAACAAGTTAACAAGCAATTGTCAGTGAGCATCAGTATCCCAGCCAGGGGCATGGCCATTTCCTTTGTTCCAGCTCCCGTCTTTGTAATCTTAGGTCAAACCCATTGTAATTTACCATAGTGATGTCACTGAGAGATGAAAGGAGTAGAAAGGTGGAGGCAGGGAACCTGGCTCCAAAGAGGGCTTCTATATTCCAGTTCTTAGGAGTACTCTAACTCTTTAGTTACTATTTTTAGCTCGCTATTGAATAAGCATCTCTCAGAATTTAGGCCCTTGGACCATGGAGTTCCCCAGCTACTTTTAGAAGGTCTGCTAAGTAAAAACCATTTTTTAATTCAAACCAAGTTACTATTTGCTTTTCCACTGCATTGATAGTTGTAGACACAAAGGCATAGGTAAAATTGTTGGAATCTGTAACACAATTCAAGGTGGTAACACCAAACTGGTACCATTAGTCATTGTATTTTGTTTTTTGTCACCATAGTTATAGTTAAAAAAAAGTTGTCTTTGATGAAGTACCAGATTTTACAATGTATAATGTTCATGTTTTTGCCTAAATTTTTGAGGGAAAAATAAAGATGTGCATTATACATGGGTAGTACTAATTTCATATCTACATAAATGTTTTTAATTTTTTATTTATGCCTATGTGTTAAAAGTGTAACTCTAGAAAGCAATAACAGTATATGTATGCAAAATAATATGCTGAAATATGATAATTGGTTTCCTCTCTAAATATGCATAAATACAAAATAGAATTAAAAATTTAAAATGAAAGATTTTTTCTAAAGTTTGAACCCAAAATGGGGGTGCACATTGTATACAACAAAATACAGTAGATTATTACTTTTATAACATGCTCTGAATAAACACTTTTTAAGTGTCCTGTGTGGTGAAATACGAATTATGCATAAAGAACTTTTGCTGCAAACTGAAGTATGATGTCTGAAGCAAAAGGCCATGTATGATTGGTTGATGAACTGACCACTTTTTCATTTAACTCCATTTTAATGTGGAAGCTTGACTGCCCAAGTAGAGTTTTTGAGACTTACATAGGTATTGTATCTGATGCATATCTCTTCAGTATAAAGTGACCTTGTAACATGAAAGAAAGCAACTATTTTGTGTTTCTGGTTGTTGCCAGTTATCAGATTTGACCCTTCCAGGGAAAACTAAAATTCTGAAAATCTTTTGTATGGCACCATAAAGTGGACAACTTCTCAATACTCAAAAAAATTTCTGAAGAGATTTATGGTGATATTAACAAACGTAATTATTGATATTATAGAATTGGACCTGTCCATAATTGGAATATGTGTGCATCTGCTCCGTCGGTCTGGCACCCAGCCTGTATTCACATTATAGTTCTATGGCTCACTGGATGTCGGAAATGCAGCCTTAACTCCTTACACCATCTACAAGATGGATCTAATATGATAGCTTTTCAGATAGCTTATGAATATTAAATGGAACCATACAATGTAAAGAAGTTAACACATTGTACAACCCCAATAAATGGTATCATTCTTTTTACTAGTACAAGTAGTTGTGATAACCATACCTATTTCATAGGATATTTTGAAGATAGGTAATAAAGTAAGTTGAAAATATTTCAGCAAATGTTAGATTCTTCTTCATTGTCCCTTTCTCCATCATTCCCACCTGAAACCTAAAAATAAAATATTATAGCTTTGTATAACAGAGTCCAGTGAGGAAAACAGAAACTCCATCTGTTGTTTTAATATAGAAAATGTAATATAAGGGATAGATTAAACAGGTATTGGAGAACTGGAATGGAAGAAGGGGCCTCTGTGGTTGTGCAGAGAGAGTGACTGCGGGAAGCAGCTCCACACCGAGTGCTTGGGGAACAAAAAGAAGAATTAGAGTTACTAGGAGCTTGAACAAGGACCCTCTAGATCTGAGGGCCAGACTTCTTATAGTGGTGCCAAGCAGCCAGTATGGGTATTTCTGGAGCGCACTGGAGAGGCCTTAGGAACTCAAAGTCAAGAACTCTCAGGAAGAGGTTCAAGCAGCCTAGTGCTGGCATCTCTGAGGAGGCAGAATGAGCTGGTTCTGGAAGGGCTTGAAAAATCTGTAGACAGACTAATTTCCTCTAACAGGATAAAGGATGATTGTGAAGACAACACTGGCAGCGAATGAATGTAAAAGAATAAGCTCCTTGCTCCCAGAATCCTTCCTCCCCACGGACCAGCCTCTCTGCTGTGCCCCCTATTACAGCACCCAATAGGAAGCCCATGGGAAAAACAAGTGTGTGCAGAGACCCCACCCCAAAACTCAGTGTAGAATATAGAAGCTGGGTTTTGAGCTATGAGCCAAAAAAACTTAAAAACTGACAAAATTCTTTCCTGGCCTCTAGTTAGAGGCAAAGTAGAGTAGCCTTCTTTGTTCAAAGAATATACCTGAAGTGAAATTTATGAAGAGGACTTGAGATGTCAATATTATTGGATGGAACCCATGGACTCATTTTCATATCTACTTTTTTGGAAGAAAGACTCATTTGCGCCATCCAGCACAATCGTAATAAAAATCTTTGTAGAAATAGAAATCCAGGAAGCCACCAGAAAAGTGAAGCAATCGTATTTGTTGTTAAAGTGAGTAATTTAAAATTGATCAGTAAGACATGCATCCTTAAGCTCGAGACATTTCCCACAATCAAATTTTCAGTATTTTCATTAGTGTGATTTGCATAAACAGTATTTTATTTAATTATTATTTTTTGTAGAGAATTCTGTTTTAATGAAACCAACATAGCTATTAAAGGGAGATACCTGAGCTGGTGAATAAATATGATTTTATTATATTTTATATGATTACAGTGTAATTTCTTGCAATAAATTTTGCTTGTAAAAAGGCAAAAGATTTATATGATCCGAAGAGAAACCAGAATAAATTTTACTTGTAAAGTGTGTGTACATGTGTGATATACATGAGACAGAGAGAGAGGCACAGCAGAGAGGCTTTTATTTATTTCTAAAATAAATAAAAATTTATTTTGTAAATTTATTTTATAAAATAAAATATATTTAATTTTATCCTCATAAATTTAAAAATAAATCTAACAGAGCATAATACCTGGTAAATGAATGAGGTTTCAGTTTGCAAAATTGTCAAGGCTAGAATAAAAATATGTTGTGTATATATACATGTATACACACACATAAATGTTTTTCACAATAAAAGCAATAAATAAATGTTTCAATATTATATGATTTTTATACATTAATCTATTAGGAGGACATCCATAAGCACCTTAAAAGAGAAAAATTATTACATTCAAGTTATTTTTTTCTCTGACACACTTGCTGCCATCTGATTGCTCTCATTTCTTTTCTCATCATCTAAATGCTATTACTGATATTTAGATCATTAACTAAAAATATTCATTTTGATGTGGAAGTTGTTTTCTACCCTAATTATTGTTTTCTCGTATCTAAGAATGCCTATTGATGTACAAAACCATGTATGATTAGATCAGATATCTGAAAATGCAAGCAATAGTGTCATCGGGGATGACACATCACTTATAAGATGGGGTAGTGAATCAACAGCCTGCAGCCTGAAAATACATACGTGATTTTTTTTTCAGAATCAGAGTGAATGAAGCTAGTTGGAAAGTGACACAAGCAATCTGAGATGAGCACTATAGGAAGCAGCAAAGTGTTTTTTTTTTTCATGTTCACAAGAGTTTTTGTTTTATTTCATTTAGGGAATCCTTTGGAGATGTTTTCAAGATGTAGAATGCTTATATATGAAGTATCCCAAATGAAGTTGGAGTATCTGCATTGAAATTACTTCATGTTGTGGTAAGATGAGATGATTCTTAATGTGATGAGGTGTGCATGTGTGTATGTAAATACAAAATTATGAAGGTTTGTAATCCAATACACAAATTTAAGATTCAAAAACAACTCTTTTGCAATGATGATTTTATGGCTCCTTAAGAGGGGTGGAGCACAATAGGGAATTCAAATTTTTACTGTTACTATCTTACTGTAGTATTTACATTATTTATAGTAGTCAACAGATCAACACAACAGATGGAGGAAGTAGGTATTGTCCTCAAAGTAGGATGTGGAAACTGAAGTTTAGAGGAATTAAAATTTATCCAAGATTATGCAGCCAGTAAGTGGCACAGCAGGGATCTTAATCTATGCTTTGCTGTTTCTGCTGATGTGCTGCTTCGAGCATTTGTGATAGGTGAGGAGACAAAGAGTTAACATAGGCTGAGGGCAAGGCCCCCACGTTTTCAACTGGCATTTAGAAGAGTCATAATTGCCTCACTGACATGGAAAAGCAAAGTGAAGAAACTATGTTTTCACTGCTCTTGAAAAGAGAAAGTTTTCTATAAGTCTTGACTGGTTACATACATAATGGTGTCTCAAGTGAATTGAAAGTTATAGAAAAACTGACAGAAGCAATGTGTGCTGTAATTTCCCATTCACCTTTCCTATAAAATGAAAGTCTGTAGTGGGCTTCCTTTATACAAATACCCTGTCGTGGCTGATGATATACTTTAATGGAAATAGTACCAGTCCTTCCTTGATAGCTAACTGGTATACAACTCAAGTAACTTGAGTCTCATTTCCCTTTTCTGTTACTTGTACCATAAGGTTGCTGAAAAATTACACTGAAATAAGAGACAATATATAGAAGGCAACTATAATTCATTTTGGCACGTAGTCAATATTCAATAAATAGAAGCCATATCAAAGACCTTATGAACTAACAGCTATGAAAATATAATCCATTATTTTGTTGTAGGTCTATCCATGAAGATTTGTAATTAAAGAAATGTTTATGTGAAAGATTATATTCAACATGATATAAAATTACATTTGAATGTATTTTATTTATATGTAGAAGACATTTGTTTGGGAGAATTATGGCTTGCCGATTGAAACATTTAGAAACCTTAATATATTTTAGGGACATTATTTTGTAATGGCAGTACATAGGCTCTTTCATTCTAGAGACTTGGCAATGCCAGTAGATATAGTTGATCTAAGTGTCATGCTTAAAATTTTTCTAACACATTTCTCCTGGTGATGGCAAAGCAGACACCCACTCTTGTCTCTGTGTGAGTCAGATTCGACTTGGGTTATTCAACAGAGCCACCCTGGGAGTCTGTGAAGCATTCTCTTGTGGCCTTCGTGCTGCAGAGTCTTGCTTCTATGTTGGCAATAATCAGCAATGTTTCTGTGAGAGCTGACACCATATCTGCCCTTGAAGATTACATTTTAACTTTCTATGCTGTGAAATGGGGTAAAAAAGCTAATTTTCACTGTGCAATTCTGAGAAGAGACCTTCAATCATCTCCAGTTCCAATGTGTGGAACAAACTTTTTTATGGTGGAGTATAAGCCTGTACAATTAATGAATGCAGTGAAGATATTAGGTTAGAATCCCCAACATAAATGGCCAAAGGCTCTCCTGAGAGCACCATGGGAAAGGGAATCTAGGCCATTTTTTATTTAAGCTATTTTGAATTAGTTTACATTTTGAAAACATCTGCAAAATTGCCCATGTCTCTCCTATACTGTATTACTTCTCAGTTCAAGAGTTTTACATTTGGACACAGGATACTAAACAAGCAACCCAAAATTTCCACTTTATATCCAGTTTTGAATTGAGTTAAAAAAGGTAATATTGTTTCCTAGGAATAGAATTTTTTACTTCAGGCCTCATTTCTCTTTGCTTTTTCTCTGTAATAATCCCATATTTGCTTCATGCCTAACTAACTCTAAGATAATGAATTACTTTAACTTATTTTAATCTCAGTAACCTCTTCATCATATGAGGATCATAACAGCTACACTGCAGATATTTAAGGATTACAAAGAATATATGTAAATCACCTACTGCTTGAAAAATTGCTAAGGGTCTCATTTTATACGGTAACTCTGTATCTAGATCTGCTAGTAGGTTTGATAATATGTGACTCCCAGAAATATTTATCGAGAACTCCTTGGAATCTTCCAGAATAAGGACAAATATGTTTCAGAAGATATGGGGTGACTTATAAAGGGGGGAGTTGTTACAGGAAGCTCCAACTTAGACCTAAGTGCCTAACCAGGAAAACTAATTATTTTATTTTCTAATTATCAGGCTAAGAGAATTAGTTATTTCCTGTTATTCATGTGGTAATGTGCCTGCATCATGAGCTTTTTCATATTTGTATCACCAGGCCAAAGAGTTCTGAAGCTTCACAGTGTTTACATGCCTAGAGAACTTAAAGGGTACAAGATGTTCTCAGCATCTTGCTTTAGTAAGACAGGTAGGACTTGAGTCCTAAGCATTTTAAAAGTGATTATTTAGAACAAGAAAAATCAGGTACACACCACTAACTGGGGCTTAATACTTTTTTTCCTTAAAGTTTCATGTTTTACACAATCTAATTCTAGAGCTTTATTATTATAGGTTAAAGTGAACAACTTCATTATCTGTTAAGACAAATAACTAAGAAACCAATACACTTTAATAATTTGGCAATAGAGTAACTTTGCAAAGATTTTGATTCCATAAACATATAAGAAGTTAGTAGAACAAATAAGAAATAAATAAACACTGTCCCAGTTGGTAACAAGAGTTTTTATTTGGTTAGTGCTTATTGAAAACCTAATAACCAGTTTCTTTCATATCCATTAGCTGATAAAATCTTCATTATAGTTCTCAGTAGTTAATATCCCCATTCTACAGATTGATAAAAAGAGATCTATAGAAGTTACTAGCTCAAAATAGTTATGAAATTAAGTAATGGTAAGGCCTAGACTCAATCTTGGCACCAGGTTGTTATGCAACTGGTACAGCTGCTTCCTGATCCTAGGATAATTCCATTTTCCATCCCTGAGAGATTTTGTTCTATGACAGCTAGAAATATAAGCACATATGGGAACAATCAGCCAGTATTTGTTTTGTGTAAGCTCCTGAACAGTTTAATTCACCATCATCTGCTGAGTCAGACTTTGTAAGGCATTGGTAGAGTTGGCCTATTTTTCAGCTGCTTTGTAAAACTACTCAGAAATTTTCTTTAAAGATGTCTGGAGTATCATCTGCAAATTCCTGTTGTTTTTCACCAATGTGATTTTCATCAGTTTTTCACCAATGTTGATTTATATCAGTTTCACTGAGTGTTTGTAAATCCTCTTTTAGTTAAATCAACTGTCAAGAATTTTTCCCCAGCTCAATAGCTAGGCGTATGACTGTCCTTAAAAAAAAAAGTGTATACAGTTTGTATATAGGTTTGGCCATGTGTCTAAGTTCTAGCCAATGGAATAGGAGCTACAATAATTTGTGCCACTTTCAGTTCATGGCCTTAAAAGATGTATGTATCTGCTCCTTCTCTTTCTTCATATAGTAACTTGGAAAATGTGGGATGGGATGTCCTGGTAAGCCATCTTATATCATGTACACAAGGACAACTGTCCGAAGGTAGTAGAAAAATAACATAGAAGAAATCTGGCTTACTGGCTTAATTTATAGAGCCAAATAGTCCAGGACCGCTTCTTGGTGAATGTTATGTTCACCAAGAAACATAATAAGTTCAACTTTTTTTTTTAAAGATTTTATTTATTTATCTTTAGAGGGGAAGGGAAGGAGAGAGGGAGAGAAACATCCATGTATGGTTGCCTCTAGTGCATCCCCTGCTGGGAACTGACTGGCAGGGAACCTGCCTGCAACCCAGGCATGTGCCCTGACTGGGAATCGAACTGCGATTGTCTGGTTCGCAGGCTCGCGCTCAATCCACTGAGCTACACCAGCCAGGGCAAGTTCAACTTTTTTAGCCATTGCCATTAAGCCATTATAGATGGCAGAATATATGCCTCAATTTATTAATGCATTCATCCACAAATATATTAACCATGAATGCCCTACACATGGTGGCCATTTGAGAAGTCAGTCGTAGCCTGAAAAGAAGCACAAGGCCCTAAAATAAAGGACATTGTGGTAGTTACCTGGCTATTGTTTATCTAGACTTTGAAGCATCTCATCTTACTTTTCACACTATTCTCCTGAACATCTTCCTTTGGCCCCGTTTTCCTTTTAGTTCATCCTCTTCCAGAGTATTACATAAATTTGCTAGTTTTTTCAACTCTTCTTTTTAAAGCGTTTATATTTCATGCATTCACAGGCTGAAGAAGGCAAATCTTAGACTATAGGGATAATGAATCCTGAGAAGAACTTCAGAGTAAGAGCATTCAAAGTAAATTTTTAAAAAATAAATTAAGCTATCTAAATTTTTTTACAGATGATATAAGTAGACATTAATTTCCGATACCTGGAAAATGACAACCAAATCCATACAATCTATGAGATTTTCTTCCTTGTTTCTTACCTTTTATTCAATCCTTCACCTGGTCTGTCTTCACTTGCCTCCAAGCCAAAACTAAATTTTATTTTTTCATGTTTAGTATGTCTCACTGAATCTTTATTTAAGAGATTTTAAATCTATAATTAATTTCCTAGTAACCAAAGAATGCCTCAGTGTCTTAAGGATGCAGTGTTCTCCTAGCTCCATAGTCTCGCCTCGAATTATTAGTTAGCAGCAATTCTGCTACAGAGCATGCTCCCTACCACACTACTGGTTTTACTACTGTTTTGGCACTCTGCAACTAGTCTTAGATCCCTTGGCTCTTTATTTTGCCCCTTAATAATATAGTGTTTGCATCTTCTGACTAGCAGAGTGTATGCTTCGTATGTGCCTCAAAATATTTCATGGTTGGTTGACAACTACAATCGCGGTATTTCATTATGCTCTGTCACTCCTGTGATGCTGCTTCTATTTCTGAGCATGCTGCTTGGCACTT